CATTGAGCACCTGCTTATGGAGTGATTACAATGTGCCAGGCATTGTGGTGATCCTGGACTTGCTTCCTTTCATTTAATCCTCACCCAAAACATCCCACACAGTCACTATTATTAGCCCCATTTCGCAGATGAGAAAACTGAGGACCAGGAAGCATAAACAACTTGTTCTATTGACCCAGCTGCTCCCTGGAAGAGTGAAGATTTAGGTCCAGGACAATACACTGGCCTCCCTCGAGGGCACAGGTGAGGGGGCATCTCAAGGATTGTGTCCCCCACATGAGCCTCCCCACCCCAGAGCAGTGGAGCCTTGGCCTCCCTGCCTGGTGTTAGGGCCCCCTGCAGCTGGGCCCCGCTCCCCCACCCGCCTCCTCTGCTCTTAGCCATTTCCCAGCCACCACATCCTGCAGCACTTCTTGCCTCTGTGTCTGCTTGATCCTCCACCTGCAATGCACTGGAATCTCCACCTGCCACAATCAGAACCATCCACGATGCTGGGCTGGCCTCTGCCTTCCTTGTGCACATGGAACTCACTCTTCAAGTCAGGTCCCTCTGGCCTCCCCAGCCTTTCTTATCCCAGTTTTGACACAGCTGTCCCCTCCTCAGAGAACATGCCTCCTCATCACCCTGTAATGTGCTCTGCAGGCTGTTATCAGCATCGAAATCAGCCGCAGGCCTACTGATGACTTCATCCTCTGTTTCACGATAAGACCCAAGTTCCATGCAGAGCAGTGGCTTGTGCCTCTCTATCCCTCAGTACCTAGATCTTGGCACAGCACAAATACCTGTGAACGAATGAAGGTTTCCTCCCATCCACCCCTCCAGACCTCCCCTTGGCAGGACGTGTGAGCTCCTCTTTCTCACCTGGGCCTGGCCAATGTGGTCATCTTGCGTTCAGGTCATCTTGGGTTCAGGTCACCCTTCTGGCAGATCCACACTTGAATCATCAAAGACCCACAACCTCACCCCTCAAGGAATATCACTAGTTCTTCTCAGACAGGCTCTGGAGGGCTACACCTTCCCTGCCTCCTGCAAGCCTCCTGCAAGTTGCTGGTCAGTAATGGGGTTTGCAGCCTGTCAAGTCAGCCCCATGGAGGGGCTTAACATGATGATGGAACCAACCTCAGAGAAATGCAGAGTTTGCTACCCAGGGTCGCTAGGAAACAAATTCTATGTCCCTTTGGGATTAATTTCTTGATAACCATGAGCCCAACCAAAGAGCTATTCTCCCTCCCTCACCTGGCTCTCTGTCCTCCCTGGAGAGCCTCGGGGACCCACCATTCTCATCCCCAGGGGAGGAGGTTCCTGGCTCACCACCCACTGCCACAGCCTCTTGCAAGAGGGTCTGTTGGCCTCAAAGGTCCTAGCTCCTCTCCCTTTGCCTAGTCTCAGCCTCCACCTTGGCAAGGTGATGAATTGGGAACCAGGAGTTGGCACATCCACCAAGCAATTAGTGTTTATCTCCCTTGTTTATGTGGCTGAACAACAGTTCATTTTCAAACTTAATAGTCAATACTCAGAAAGATAAAACTGCCTGGGTCACTCTTGGGAGGTGATTTGAGGGTTTGGTGGGAAAACAGAATGGGGCATGAGCTGGGTGCATGCCTCGGCACGAAGCTCCAAGCACCCCCCCCCCAGACCCCAATTCCTGGGGCCCCAATTTTCAGACTTCTAATCTCCCTGAACAGTCCATCAGGAGGAAGGTACAAATCTTCCCATGTCGAAGGTGGAAATCTGAGGATGATGACGTCAAGAGGCTCTGCAGTTTGCAGCTCCTCAGTTTCCCCACCTCAGGCTTGGAGGACTCTGGCTTTCCACCTTACTCTTCCCCTGTGGTCTGCCCTGCACAGAACCCTGCTAGGCTCATGCACACCCCGCCAGGGGCTGCAGAACTGAACTGGCCATGCCCGCCCAGCTACATCCTCAGGCCCGCTGCCCACAGAGAAGCCAGGGGCCGTGTTCACACGGAGGGGACCCCCCCTGCCCATCCTGCAGCCTTCATGCCAGGGTAGGCAGAGTATGGGGGTGGAGTGGGCAGCACGCCCCTCCCTCCTGCTTAGGTTGGGGCCTGCTGTCCTGTGTTCACACACTCCACAGTCTCAGACAGAAAGGTCTACTTAGCTCATGCAGAAGGAGGGGAGAAAGGGGCTGACTTCGTGGAAGGGCTGCAGGACCCAGTCCTGACCACCCACCACCTGGGCTGGGGAGGGAGGCTTTAGTGCCCATTAACAATGGTGAAATGCTCCCACCTGCTGGCCATGTCCCAGCACTGCTGGTGCCCTGGTGCTAGCGCTAGTGCTGGGTAAGAGAGATGGGAAACCAGCCCCGCTGTTTCAACCCGGTCCTTCCCCACCATGTGTAAAAGATTAACAAGGATGGGAAAATCAAGCTTCACCCCAGGTTGGCATGTTGTTGCTGTTGCTGATGATGACTCGGAAATAATAATGATATTATAATCTCACAATTATTGAGCCCCTGACAGGGTCTAAAAAGCAGAGGAGAGGGGCTAGGCTGGGGAAAGGGAGCCTTGGGAATTTGGAAGTCTAATCTGCCTGGCTCTCAACCCAGTCCTGACCACAGAGCCCCAATCTAGGACCAAGCTCAATTTTCCACTCCGTTCCAACCCTCCTTGCTGTGGTCTTCACTCAGACTATCAGAGCTGGGAAAGAACCCCAGAAATTATCTGGTGAAAATACCTCATTTTGTAGGTGGGGAACGTCAGGCCCAGAGAAGGCAAGTGGTTTCCCCAGATCACAAAGCTAAAAGTGACAGAGCCAGGATGGGAACTCAGGTCTCCTAACTACCCAGCCAGGACTCCCTGCCGAGCCCCAGTGCTGCCTTCCCCTCCCTTATCTGCCAGTGGGCGCCCCACATCACGTCCAGAACCACCTGAAGCCCAGAGCCAGGTGAGGACAGGAATGGGGGGCGGGGGGAGGGAAGCACGGTCTGAGAGGAGCAAGCGGTGGAAGTGGAGTCTCTCTCCTTCCCCTCCCTCCCCTGAGCCACTGGGGGCCCGCAAATGTTCTGCCGTTTCCACTCACGCGGGGGAGGGAGGCCCTCTCAAGAACTGGAAAGAAGGAGACCCCTGATTGCTTTATAGTCACAGCTCTAATGATAATGGAACTGGTGGGGGTTGATGGGGGGAGCATGAGCCTCGGGGGTGTCCCCACTCAGCTCCTAGCAGAGGACCTAGGGCCTCCTGACAACGCTGTCTTCCTGACCTCCGTGCTGCTCCTGGTGAAGCCCATGCCCAGGCCAGGCAGGGGCCTGGCTGCTCCCATGGCTTTTGGCCTGAGGAATAGGCTAGACCTGCTTTCCCATCCAGTTCCTGGGGAGAGCCCAGAGTACTGGGAGCCCCTCATAGCCAGGGCCTTTCTCAGAGAGTCTGGGCACCTCTGGGGCCCAGGAGTGTGGCCACAGGGACTTCAGGTCCTGAAGGTCAGGGAGGCTGCTGGGCACAGGGTGCCTACAGAGGTGGACCTGCTGGGGCACCCAGCAGGGGGCGCTCCTCAAGACATTGCTTGGGGGAACCAGCACCCACGGCAGGGGCCTGCAGGGAGCAGCAGCTAGCCCCAGCGACATTCTATAGTCCCAGCTCCCAAGGGAGGGCACCAAGGTAGCCAGAGCATACCAGTCCCACTTGGGACAGTTTCTTTTCCTGGCAGTGCCTAACAGGTCTCCACAGATGCCCTCAACCCTTCTCCGTCTTTTCCTTTCTCACCCTCCCTTCTCTTCCCTTTTCTGATTCGAGGAGCCTCTCCTGGGAAGCCTGGCCAGTGTTGGGATCCTACAGCTCCCCTGGCCTGGCAGGAGACAGGGAGAGGGAGAAGGGAAGAGTGTGGCCAGTCCACCATGGACCAGCAGCCAGCTCATTTAGGGACTTGTACTTGGGGGAGGAGATTGTTTGGCCCCCGGTGGGGAGTACAGTGAGGAAAGACATTGAGAACAGAGGGCCCTGGGGTGTCCCTGCCACACCAGGGGGAGCAGCATGGTTTTCTTGCACCCTCTTTCCCTCTGCTTCCTCCTGGCTGGCTTGCCCCTTCCAGGAAGCCCTCCCTGACTACCCCTCCAGCTTCTCTGGGCTCTCGGGGACTGGAAGCCCTTGTCTTCTTCCTCCATCCCCCAAGACCAGGATGGTGCTATCCTCAGGAGCCTGGGTCTCCTGCCAGCCTTGACTCTGGGCTCCCCCTTCCCCCCTGAGGCCCTCCCCGCTATTCAGAAGGCTCTCAGTTCGAAGTTTCTGGTCAGCCCCTCCACTCCAGCCGCGTGTGAACACCCGCGTGCTCTGGGTTACAGGCTCCTGGCCACTGCTGGGCCCTGCTACCCTCTGGGGACTCTGGGACAGGCTGGCCAGGGGTGTGGGAGCACTCCAGGCCCCCAGCCCACTGCTCTTCTTTCTGGTGCTCCCTGCAACCCAAGCCCTGCTTCACAAAGGCCAGCCAGTGTCTCAGATGTAGGGGGCAAGGGTGGGGAAGACCCAATGATGGAAGATGACCGTACACTCATCCGAGGGGAAAAGCATTCAGAAGAACTGCAGCCAGTCCCTCTGGGGCCCCTCAGAGACATGCTTGTTCAATACAAGGGAAGTGAGTGGTCCGTGGTTTATTTCAGAGGGAAAAACTCAAGCTGGATGTCCCCCTCCCCCATCCCTGCAAGTTGACCCCCTCCCCCACAGCCCCATGGCCCTGGGGCTGGGGGAGAGTGAGAGGAGGACGACCCCCACCATGCTGCTCCTGGTTTGGTCTCCTGTCCTGGCCCTGGGTCCCGAGACATGCAACATGAAGGGCAGTCAGAGAGAGGAGGCAGAGTCTCTGCGGGGGCAGCGGACGAGGGTGGAGGCAGCGTGTAAGGCACTCTCCACTGCCAGGGGAGCACCAAATTATAAAATGAATGAAATCCTGTAGGTAAGTGGTATTTCCCTCAAGGTGGCTGGGCCAGTAGCTATTTTCATAGGTAGATTATATCATGGTGAGTGAATTACTTATAATTGCTTATCCTGGCAAGTGGGAAAGAGGCATATCTTGGCCTAGATCATCCTGCCAGCCAGGAGAGCTTGCCCTCCAGGGCCTGCGGAAACAAAGTGGATGTGGTGGATACCCACACGGGGGCAGGGTGATGCCAACACACCTAGAGGTTTCCCTCTGTGATGGCCAAGGCTGCAGGCTCTGCCAGGCTGGTCACTGGTAGGTAGGACCAGAGAGGGCACGTATAGAGCCAGTCTTCTCCTAACAGGACCGGGCTGCTGGAGAGAAGGTGGTGCTGTGTGGATATGAGATGAACAGCTGGCTTGTCCAGGCACCTACTGACTGCATGGGGGATAGGGACCTTGGAGAGAAGTGGCCAACAGGCCTGGGGACAGCAGGGCATGGGCAGGAGTGGCAGGCTTACACCAGGTGGGCACATACTGCTAGCACCAGTGATCCAGCCCAAGAGGAGGAGGGTGGTGGATTAGGGCAGAGAGCCCCACCAATCTCTCACCCTGCAATGGGCTGGCCCCTGAACACAGGAACAATGGTGACCATCAGAAGTCACAAGGCAGGAAAGGGGCCTGGATGGAGTGTGGCTAATGGGGGACTCAGGACTGCCCTGAGGCAGCAGAGGGCTGGAGTGGGCAGGCCCAGGCCAGGCTCCCTCCCGCACAGATGAGCACAGTAGCTGGGCAGGCAAGAGCAGCAGGGTCAGTAGGGAGGGGAGGGGTGGTAGCGCCTCGTTCCCTCCTGCCCGGAGCTCACGGGGCCTCATTGGACCCGATCCCGCTGCCTTTGTTGACGTAGAATGGCCGGTAGTGAGACTGTGGGGGGAAACAAGAGTGGTTAGGGAGGCCAGATGAAGCCCACTAGCCAGCCCCACCCTACCCTAACTCCCTCCAGGAAGCGGCAGTGGTCCAAACCCCAACAGTTCTAGGGGCCTTGCAGCCTGACCTGCAAGATCTATCTACCCTGTGATCAGGGTTGGTCTCTAATGTGATCAAGATCTCCAGATTCAAATCCTAATTACAGTTTATTCCCATTAATCAGTTGGTGAACTTGAACTTCAGCCTCCTCTTCCTTGACCCTCATCAAAGTGCTCTCTCCATGGTCCAGGATGGCCCTCCCAGCCCCACCATTTACATAGCACTTTCTACTCCACAGAATTGTATAGCACCGTGCCAAGTGCTTTACATAGATAAACTCATTTAATTTTTACAACCATCTGATTAAATGGGTTACTATTATCATATCCATTTTATATGAGCAAAACAAGGCACAGAGAGGCTAGGCACCTTGCCCAAGGTCACTCAGCTAGTAAAGAGAGGATCCGGGACTCGAGCCCCAGCAGTCTGGCTTCAGAGTCCTCCCATCCCATGTCTTGGCATCACTTCTGGTGTCTCAAGGGCTTCGAGTGTTTGCTTGTGTTCTCTCTGTGTAATTCTCCCTGACAGAGGGGTGCAGAGAGAGCAAACAACTGCTTTGACCCAACACAGACCCAGGCTCCCCCAGTCCCTTTGCCTCCCTCATCCTGCCCTGGCACTGGTATTCAGGGAGCATGTCTCAGGACAGAGCCCGGCAACAACTCTCCAGCTTCCTCTGTGTATCTCATTGTGCAGTAATTCCATGAAATCAGCACCCTCCTCTCCTCCCAATCACTCCACCAGGTCCCTGAGAAGACAGCCCTTCCAGGCTGCTACTTGCCCATGTTAACACTGTTGGTCCCTAGAGGGTCTCAGGAAGTGGATTGGTCCCTGAGTTGGAGATGGAAGCTGCCCCCAGGGCCCACTGATCCCAGTACAGGAGACACCATCTCACCCTCACACAAACACACCATGGGTGTTCATAGCCCCTGCCCCTGGCCCCCGTTGGCCTAGGAACTGGCACCTCCTAGTCAGCTCCTCCCCTGTATCTGGTTCCCAGCAGGACTCAGGCCTGGGGAATGCCAGAGCTGAGGGTCCTCAGCTCAGACCTTGCTTAGACCACCCGTTAAACAGAGGAAGAAACTAAGATCCATGGAGGGGAAAGTCACACAGCTACTCAGGGGCAGAGAAGGGCCTGGAACCAGGTCTCCTGACCCCCCGGGGCCAGCCCAGACCCCAAAGTAGTCCAAAAGGCAAAGTGACCAGACTTGGAAACAGCTACAGCCTTTCTGTCATGAAGGCTGGGTCAGTGGTACAGATGGCAAGTCAACAAATGGCACCATCTTGTTAAGAGCCCAGAGTGGTGGATGGACAGAACGTGGCCCCATGGCATCTGGGCAGGGTGCTCACCCCCACCCCCACTCCACCTTCATCTCCTCCCTGGCTCAGGGTCACAGCACGTGAGAGGTGAAAGTGCGATAAAATAATCCAGGCCATTGAATTCATATTACTGATGGGGAAACTGAGGCATGAAGGAAGAATGGCTCATACAGGTTACACAGCAAGTTGGTGAGAGGGCTGGGGCCAGACCCCAGGCATCCTGGCTCCCAAGCCAGACCCTTCTGCACACCAGCACCTGCCTACATTCAAGGTGGTAAAGAGACTTCTCTGTGGGGACCTGGGCTCTGTGAGGGTGGAAAAGTATGTGGTAGGGAGGAGAAACACTGAGTCTAGAATCAGAAAACTTCTTCCCATATCTGCTTTTTGCAGTCCTGCTGTTGCAATGCCCCTGGGCCCAGCTGCAAATTACACACACGATCACCTAACTCCCATTGCCAGCAAATTAAAGATTCTCTTCAATTAAACCAGCCCCAGCCATTCTTTGTAGTCCAGAGCAAATCGCCTCCCCTGCTCTGACCTCCAAATGCAAAGACAGCAGGAGCCAGGGGCCCTGTCCCCTGTCCACAGTGAAACCCTGATGCCACCCACATGCCAAGGCAGCTGGCCGACCCCTCCAGCAGGGCCTAGCATGGGCCTTCAGGAGAGAAGCATTCCGGAGATGGAGGCTGAGGTCTCAGGCAGGGGTCAGGCATGTCAGGTCTAACGGGCATTGAGGATCACCTCATATCAGCACCCACATTATAGAAACCAAGGAACAGTCCCAAAGAGAGTGTCTGACTCATCCAGGATCCCCTAGGCAGCAGGTGGCCTAGACCCCAAGGCCATGCCTCCCTGTGGTGCTGCTCTCCTATGCCCCTGGCTTAGGGTTATTAGATACTGAACCCTAAATACATCTGTGTCTAACTTTCCAGCCCCCACACTATCACCCCAATAGCTTCTATGTTGTCAGAGCTGGAGAACTGGCCCCCTGGGAGATGGGACCCATCTCAGGATGCCCGTCCCCTGGACTGAGTTTACGGTTCCAGAACTGGCAGAGACGGAGCTGTCATTCCACAAGCATAGGCACCCAACAACCATTTCCCAAATAAAAAACCAGGGCTACCCACGTTACAGATTAGAGAACTGGGGCCCAGACAGTGTGTGCTTAGCTGTGTGCCCCGCCTGTGAGCCCTGGGTCTCTCCTCCCCTTTGCTGCCTGCAGGTATTCCAGCCACTGCTGCCTCCTCCCTCCACTCCTTGGCCCAGAGAACTCATCAGCCTCCCACAGGCCCTGGAAACGTGAAGACCGGTTGCCCCTGGGGAGCCCCCTCCAGTGCCCAGTCTCTGGACATGCCTGTACCCAGGCGGCCTCTCCTGGCCCCATTTCACTCACCAGCAAAGTCTGCTTGCCAGATTTCCAAGACTGGGGCTGGGCCTTGGGGGTCTGGCTCCGGATGAGGGAGGGATAGCCTGGGAAGACGAGAACTCTAGTCAGAGGGAGCGTGGGCTGGTGGTCAGGGGTCCCCAGGGCCAGAGCAGCACAGCTGCCTTCTCCACAGTGCTCGCCAAGCGTCCTCCAGCCCATTACCAAATGCAGCCACCTGAAGAGGCATGCAGCAGCTGGGGTGCCGCAGCTGCAAATCCTGAGGGCCTGGCCAGAGGCAGGAAGCAGCAAGGCAGACAGCAGGAGGAGGAGCCGGCCAGGTGGGCTGGGCCAGGCAGCAGGGGAGTGTCGCCCCCAGATCCACACCAGCATCACACTGCTCTGCAGGGACTTCCACCCACCCTCCCACCCCAGAGGCTAACACCATGGACCCCTCCCCCTCCCGGAGCCCAGGAGAAACACTTCACAAGCACAACCTGCCAGGATTTCCCGTAGGAGAAGCTCATTGACTGCCCTGCACTGGGTGGACGATGCTTCCCGTTTACTGAGCCCGCTTGTGCCAAGCACCGTGCTAGGGACCTTGCATATGTCTCCTCACTCAGCACCCTCCTTTCTGCAAGGTCAGCAGTTTGCCCAAGCTGCACAATCAGGGTTGTGAGCAGCAGTCAGGATTCAAATCCAGGTTTCGCCAGACTGCAAAACCCATATTCACGTTCCTTCTGCCTGGCTCTGCTGCTTCTCCCCTGTTTCACTAGCCAGAGACTAGGGCCCAGAGAGAGTAGTAATTTGCCAGGGTGGCTGCCACCCAGGGTTAGGACCGCAAGCCCGAGAGACCCAGAGCAGGTGGTGCTCTCTGGGCTTGATCACAAAGGTGCTGATCCAGAGCCAAGCTGCCCTGCCCAATTCTCTGGCCCCTCTCCTCAGCCCAGAGGAATCTGTAAGGAGCTCTGGTCCACAGAATAGTGAAAAGCACTCTCAGTGTCAGCCAACAGCCTGCAGAAAGACAGTAATGCCTGAGAAGAAACAGGCTATGACCTGGACACTGAGGAGCTCAAGAAATAAATTGGGTCCTTGGCCAGACCCCTGTCCAACGAGGCTGCAACCTGCCTTGGGGAAGCTCCTGTCCTGCCCTGCTCTAAGCAAGTGTGAGCAGGCCAGGCCCAGAGACCCCCTGCAGCACCACCAGGCTGCCAGCCAGGCTGGCCCTTCCAGGTGCTTCTGAGCAAGGATGCAGGGGGAGAACCCGGGTCTCTCCCTGCATCTGGGGATGGGGCAGCCTTGGAAAGACAGGGTTCCATTGGTCCGGAGTAGAGATTGAGAGAGGGGGATTCAGACCTCACCTCTCAGTTCCCAGAAAGAAAATCCCATGCCAGCCATGACAGAGGTGAAGACAGGGGTGGGATGGGGATGGGGTGGCCCAGGAGACCAGCCTTGTGCAGCAGGCAGAAGTCCAGACAGAGGGAGCTGGGGATGGCGGGTGGGGGCATGCATCCCTCTTCCAGGGAGCTCTGGGGAGGAGGGACCAGGACACCCTAGAAGTGGCAGAGAGCCCCCACAGGATGTCCCACCTGCCCCGCTATGGGAGAGAAAAGGGGAGGGATGAGAAACAGGCAGGTACCAGGATTATTTTTAAACAGCCCACTGTGGTCCAGTGGTTTGGAAAACTCTGCAGTGGCCTGTCCCAAGGTGGTGAACTGATAGGGGGCTTTCCCAGTGCCTGCTGGGAGAGAGAGAGGCATTAGCGGCACGCTGTGCTGATCCTGGGAAGGGCCAGAGGGACTCACACCTCTCTCAGCCCTGAGCATGCTCCCTGCCTCCAGGGTTGCTGGAGGGGGTGCGGGTGGGCTCAGTCCACGCAGGCTGGGGTTCTCCATGCACAGGCCACTTCAAGCTAGCCTGGTGAGCTGATCGCTGATCTATGTGAAGGTAAAAATGGGTGTTCCCAGGCTCCTCCTCCGAGGGTATGTTTGAGAAGAGGATCTCCTAACGCAAAGCCTTACACAGGAGAGTCTACATAGGCTGATGGGGAGACACTGGGGAGCGCAAAAGCTCTGAATCTTGCCTAAGAATGGCCATCTTCCCTGCCTGGTGGTCTTTGGTCCAGGCTGAGCAGAGCAGGGAGGCACCTGCTGGAAACCAGGCAGACCCAGGCAGGTTCCAGAGTTCCTCAGGCCTAGTTCAGAGATGGGACATCCCCTGGGTCTGCAGGGGGGGGACCCTCTGTTCAGGTCCACTTCTTCACCTTGCTGGGAGCTTCAAGAATCTTTACCTGGGTATAGGCTGGGATCCCAGCCTGGAAGGGACAGCCAGGTGATAAAGCCACCTCAGAGCTACTATCTGGGGTCTGTCCGCCCCACACAAACCCTTTCCCTCTCCCTCCCCCAGTCCCACCCAATCTGCGGGTCCTTTCTCCCAGGCCACATGTTTTGCATGCCAGAAGAGAAATGAGTTACTCCCACCACACCCCACCAGAGCTGTCCCTGGGATCTTCTAGGTGATACGTGAGGGTCTGGGGTCTAGAGCTAGGGGCTGGTTCAAGCCTGACCCCTCAGGATGGCCCCAACCCCAGGGGACAGGAGGCATTGACCACTCAGCCTTGTTAAAGAGCTCTGGAGAGCACGGCAGGCAGGCGGGGGGACAGGGTGTAGGAAAAAGAGAATCAGACTTGGCAGGCCTTAGAGGTCATCTGGTCTTGCCCTTCCCAAAGGGTCTCCCGAGGGACTCTGGCTCTGTGGGATATTAACTGCTGCCAGGGGTCCTAGAGTCACCCAATGCTGGAGTCACTGGGTGAACAAAGTTAAATAAACTCTTGGCAGTAGGAAGACTCGGAAGGTACACCTGACGGAAATACCCCGGGGATCTCGGAGGTGGGGGGTGCAGAAGGCATGGGGCGTCCCACCTTCCTGACCGTGGACACCTGTTGCTGCAGCGCATCTTCAGGGACTGGAGTCTGGTGAAAAGATCCCTGAGAAACATGGCTGTGGCCTAGCCCCTCAAGGCAGCAGCTCCACCAGCTGTCAGGCCAAGGCTCTCTCCTCTACAAGGTAGAAGGAGCAGAGACCACAGCAGGGCCTGGGGAGGACACGCAGGGAGGGTCGGGGTAGGAGAGCTCACCTTTCAGGGAGAAGGAGGAGCTGCCTTGCACTGGGGGCAGGTCGTCGGAGTTCTGAATGGAAGAGGAGTATTCCCAGACCCGGGAGGTGTAGTTACCTGCCAGGGTGAGGAAGGGCGTCAGACCTCGGCAGCCACGCGTGGAGGAGAGCAGGCAGGACCAGGATGTGGCCAATTCCGTGGCACTCTCTCCAGCCCCTTGCCATGTCTCTAGCCAAGATGTGCCCCCTGGCATGCCTACCCCCAGTGCTTCCCACCACCAAAGTTATCTTTCTAGAATACAAAGAGTGTAGTCATGCCCCTGTCCTACCTAAGAGCCGCTGTCCTCAGCAGAATAAGGGATAAAGTACATAACAGTCCACAGCTCTTTCATGGGCTGCCGACTCCCCACCATCTCCACTCCCATCCTGGCTTCTCTTCTTTCCATCAGTCAACACTCCAACCAGACTGAGCTCTCAGCTCCTTAGATGCACCAGTTTCTCTCCTGCCCCAGCCTTTGTGCCAGACAGTGTCCTCGGCCTAGGACACTCCAGCTGCTCCCGCCCTTAGCAAATTCATGTAGTGGGTCTTCACATGGAGTGGGTCAGCTTGCATGTCCCCTCCCCCAAATCCATGTGTGCCTCAGCCCCATGTCCCACATCTCCCTGCATGCCCTGTCCCCCTGGGTTGCAGCTGCATGTCTAATTGTCTGTCTCCCCCACTGAGCTCCACAGGGGCCAGAATATGCCCATCTGTCCCAGAATCACACCCGGTGCCTGGCACAGGGCCTGGTTCTGGAAGGTGCTCATTGCCTAGCTGATGGATGAATGCATGACCAAACGAACAAATAAATACACACACATTCTAAAACTTGGGGACACAGACAGCCAGCAGAACTCCTGAAATCCTGTTTGCCAATAAGTATCCATGTGTGTCCCCATTGTCTAGAAGAAAACGAGGCAGTGGGGCGGGGGGGAGAAGAGCAGGGGTGCTAAGATGGCATTGGGCTGGGGGGCTCAGAGCCCCTCTGTGGATGATGGATGCTTCTCCAGCACCCCCTCCTCACCAGCACCCCCTCCCCACCAGGCCTGAGCATCAGAGGTCTCTTTAGTAAAGCTCGCTCCCTGGCAGTGCCCACCAGACTCGGCGGTCCTCTCCCACAGCTGCCTGTGGGAGGGGTGGGGGCTGACGCTTGGGATCCGGGGTCAGAGATGACCACTTTTCCCAGAGCAAACCCCTCCCACAGGGATCTCAGGAGCTTCTGCAGCAAGCCCCCAGTGGGCACACCCGCCCAAGGCTCCGCGAGACTGCAGGCCTTGCCCTTTCGTTCACCCGTTTGTTCACTCTGTCTCTCTTCCAACAGCCGTTCCTGAACCCTCCTATTTCTGAGCCCTGGGGTCATAGCAGCAAACAGGACAGACACAGCTTCAGTCCTTGTGCAGCTCACAGACTGTGGCGTATATGAAGGGGGCCGAGGCTGGTCACAGCTGTGAATGTAATCCTGCACAGAGGCCTGAGCCTTGTGCTGTCCACCGGGCATCTCTGGCCCTCTCGTCTCTGTGGGCCTTGTCCTCACTGAAGCATCCTCCTACTCTGCCTCACCCCATCACACCTTTGGGGCATGAAGGACTTGGACTCAGGGATTTCCAATGAGGCTGAGGTTCCCGGCTGCTTTTCCTCCAGCCTAGCTGACGATGTCACACACACACAGACATACACTTTAAGCTCACTAGGACTCCTCTCCACCTGCCTCTGGACCCCCACCCATCCCAGCTCCCCACATGCATCTCACACTGGGGAGTCCAGCCCCCTGCTCTGTGGCCCTGCCCCACCCCCACCCCACCTGCCTGCACAGCCCCCACATGGGCCCCTGCCCACCCCGAGCATAGCCACCCTCCTACCTTTGGTGCCATAGAGATTGTTGAAATTCTTGAGGTTGGTCTCCTTGGAGAGGCGGCTGGGAGATGACGGCTGGTACGATGTCCGGGCCCCACCTGTGCAGCAGACAAGGAAGGGCTGCGTCATTGCAGAAAGGTGGGTCTGACCTGAGGGGTCTCATGCAGGATTCCTTGCCCCCAAGCAATCCCCCAAGTGCCTGTCACAGGAACCAGAATCCACAACTAGAAGGAGTCCTTTGGGTCTAGCATAAGGCGATCACTTGACTTATCATGACAGCGGGGGATAGGGAGTAATTGGGGAAGAGACACAAAATGTAATCATTTGGAATGATGAAAGTGCTAATAACATGAACTTGATCATCACATACTGTACACAAACACTGATAGTCAACTCTGTACCCCATAAATATGCATAAGTAAAAATAAAAAATAAATGTATCATCTAAATTGGGGCATTTTTGAGAGGGCGGGGACTCTATTAATTGTGCCAAGAGCATCAGGTGTAAACTTGGATGGTTCTGGATAGACTAAGACAGAAGGTGACCCTACTGAGGGGGCCTTGGAGGTCACAAGAAGGCTGGTCACCTGAGCCATCCCTGTGTTAATGAGTCCCCAAAGGCTGGGAAATGGGGTGCTTGGGCGCAAGGAGAGGCCATGGCACTGTGGGGCATCATTGGGCCCTTGGCCAGATGAGGGCTGGGTGACTGGAGGTGGCAGATGAGCCGAGCCGCGCTGAGAGCCTCTGCTGTTACTTCACCTTGGCGGCTCAGAAACTTCCGCAAGGGCTGTCCCTTCTCCCTGCAACGGGCCCTCACAACAGCCTCATGAGGAGGGCAGAGCAGGATCAATGCCCCAGCTTTAGAGATGACAAAAATGAGCCCCCCAGGGGTCAGCGTCCTCTGTTGGCTCTGCCCTTCCCTGCCTAACCCCCAGACTGCATCGGCACCCCCAGTTCTGTCCCACCGGTCCCTGCACCTGCTGGCCCTTCTCTAAACCTTTGTGTGGTTCTTCTTGCCCCAGTGCCCTCTGCCTGTCACAGTCATGCCCACTTTCCTGAGCACACAGTCCCTCTTTCAGGCAACCTTGAAACTAGCCTCTCCTGGGAAGGAGTCACGGCCACTGCTCAATCCCAGTGACCCCAAAACTCCCAGACTCAGGGACTAGTGGCCCTTCAGTGGCCTCATTCCCTGGTCTCCTAATGACTCTCCTTGACCCTCCTTCGCCGCCCCCCCTCGCCTCCACCCTGAGCCTGGGAGCTCCCAGAGGGCAGTTTCCCTGTCCCTCCTGTCCCCAGCACAAGGCTCTACCCACAGTGCTTGGGGCAGGGATACTGGATGGACCTGTTTGTTCCACCTACAAATGTCACAGACTGACTCATAGTGACAGAGCTGGGAGGTCTCCTAGCATTTGAGTCCAGATAGGGATACTGAGGCCAGAGGTGGCAAGGCCACCACAGCCCCAGGACTCTCGGGTGACACCTTGGCAGGCTGTGCTCTTCCCTTCACCCCCTGGTCTGTGCCCCTCCTCGCAGCCTGCAGTGGGACTCACACTGACCCTCAATCCTCTGCAGAGCAGGAGAGATAAGACAGGGGACTCGATGCCACACCAGGACTGGTCCTTGGACAAGGGGGAGAGACAGGAGGGACCAGGCCTGGGTGAGGCTGGCGGCAGGGCTTCTGAGGAGAGGGCTGCTGGAGGCAGCTGGTCAGTACAGCTCATCCTCTCACAGAACTCAGCTCAAAGGGGCAGCGCCCAGCCAGGGAAGGCCACAGGACTGGCCCACTGGGGCCTGGCCCACACCAGGAATGTCAAAGAGGGGGAACCTGGCATGCAACTGCCGCCCCAGACCTCCCCAGGAAGTGCAGGTGTTGTTTTCAAAATGGGTGGGGCGGCAGAGGTTCTTCTCCGTTGAGCTCATCTTTCCAAATCCCCCAAGCCACTCCCGTGTGTGTGTGTGTGTGTGTGTGTGTGTGTGTGTGTGTGTGTGTGTGTGTGTGTGTGTGTGTGTGTGAGAGAGAGAGAGAGAGAGAGAGAGAGAGAGAGAAAGAGAGAGAGAGAGAATTGTGCCTAGGGCCTGGAGGCTTCCTCACCCCAACCCGTCATGCCTTCCCCATGTCCCCTTCCTCCCCTCCCCTGTGCCCCTCTCCTCCCCCACCCCAACATGCACATGCATATGCCCCTTATGTAAAGGACATCGTTGTGGCTTGTTGCTGGTGCCTAAGAATGTGAGAAGCTACCACAGGGCAAGGACAGGCAGACACTGGTCTCTCCCCACCAGGCTGTCACCCCACAGGCCAGGCTGGGGCTCTCCAGGACCTGGGGAGGGAGGGACAAGGGGGCTGGGCTGTGTGGTAAGGAAATTCAGTAGAGGAGCGGCTCGCTCCCTGCCCCTGAGGATCAGCAGGGTCTGGGAGGCGGCCTCCCTCCACAGGGCTTGAGACCTACAGAAACCTAAGTGAAGCAACACAGCTCCGGCCGGGCAGAGGAAAGCCCTGGAGACGCTTTGGAAGGAACCAGAAGCAAGGCTGCGGGCTGAGGCAAGGGGCAGGGAGGGAAGCCTCTGAGGAGCTGGGTGCTGGATGATTTGTCACCTAAACCAGGACACTTGTCACTTCTGAAAGCGAAAGGAGGCACTGTTTATAACCACACCAGGACAACAGGTAGAAGCTAGGACTTTCCCAGGCAAACTGCGGGCACAGTCACTCCACCCAGGAGGAACCTGGCTGAGAGTCACCCCACAGGTGCTGGCGCCCTTCAGCAGCAGGAGGGACACCAGGTCTGGGGTGAGGGGGCCCAGCGTACCCTTGGGCGTGAGGTACATGGAGTATCTCTTCATGGTGTCCGGGGCACTCCACTCGCTGGTGTAGCTATTTGTATAGCTGTTCATGTAGCGATGGTCACCACCTGGGAAGGAGAGAGGTTAGGTCAGCAGAGGGGACAGAGGAGAGGAGGAGCTGGCCCTCTGAGGACCCCATACCACACCCCTCTGTCCCAGGGAGAGACAAGGTACCACATCCTCAGAGCATGTGACACTCTGCCCAGCCTCCACTCTGCTCCTGAGCTCATGGGGGCAGGGGAGCTCTACAGTGAGTAAGAGCATGTGCACAGCACTTTGCAGTTTACAAGGTGCTGTTGATATCCACTTCTTATTTGATCTGTAAATCGACTGTTGAACAGGTATGAACATCCTGTGACAGATAAGGAAATTGAGCCTCAGGAGGTGAAGGAAGCAACTTGCCCAATGTCACATGTCAATAGAGCAGAGTCGGGGTTTGAGCCACAGTCCCCACTTTGTGGCTCAGTCGCAGCCACTGCTGGCAGCCTGAGGTGGTGGAATGAGGTGGCCTCCATGGCCCAGGGATCCAGGCGGTTAAGCCGAGTGAGCTGCTGCAAGGAGACACCTACCTACAGACCCCTAAACCCAAACGAATCTGCCACTTGATGCTTGACTTCCCCCAGCTGCCCTCCGTGCCCCTCTCCTTTCTCTTACCACTTCCCTGCCCTCTACTTTCTCTGTCCTTCCTGCTCCCTCCCTCCTGGGCAAGAGGAGGAAGGATTGGCTCAGACACCCATCCTTCATCTTCGTCCCTGCCCAGCAGGGTCCTGGCACACAGTAGACACTCAAAGAATTAACAAGTGCCCTCCTAGGTGTTGGCCCAGCCCTGTGCCCCACTGAGCCCATGATGCATGTGGACTGGTGCCTCTGGCCCTTTGAGGGTGGGAATGAGCCCCGGTCTGGTGGACAGGCCAGCACCAGGGAGGGGTGGATGGTCACTGCAAGGTCTGACTCACCGGCCACCCACCCCCACCTCCTACAGAAGACACACCCCCAACAACTACACAGCAGCGACAAAAAAACAACAACACAGAGGCAAAGGAGCCTTCCCCAGCGGCCGCAGGCTAGCACAGGCAGGGACTGAATCAGCAGTGCCCAGCCCTGCTCCTGTCTGCCCCCTCACCGCAAACCTTGTATGGGACACAGGGCCACACCTGCACAGAGGCCATGACCAGCACCATCGTGACCTAGAAATGGGACAGTGAGCAGCCATCAGGCTGGATGGTTCCTGCGAGGCTCACAGGCAAACCCACCCCAGTCAAGGCCACCGTCCCAGGCCTGGCCAGACCTCACACATGGGGCTTGCTCCCAGGATGTGGACCCCAGGAACAGTGATCATTACACTCCCCAACCCCACTGCTGCTGCCACCAGAAGCAGCCTCTCGGGTGAGCAGACATGAGAGACTGAACGCAGAGTGTTGAGCACGACTGTACCACTTCCTCGCTGTGTGCTCTTTAAAAAGATGCTTCTCTGAGCCTCAGCCTTCTCATCTGTAAAATGCAATGCACCCCGCGGGGATAATAAGGTAATGCCCAGCACACAGGAGCACTCGATGACTGTCAGCGTCGCCATAGCCATCGGTATCATCACTATTGTCATTAGAAGCAGGGTTACAGGATCTGAGTGCCCTGTGAAGCCAAATGATTGTCTTGCTGTAATGGCTTCTCTGTCCTCAGGTGTGACTGAATATCCCCCTCATTTCACAGGGACACTGTGTGACATCATCACCAAGATACAAAGATGGCCCCCCGAACCCTGACCCTTCTGCACACTCTTACTCCCGTTTTCCTCCCCAAAGAATCATGTGCTCCACCTAGAGACCAGAGAGGGGTCATATCCCTTGAGGTGTTCATGGCTAAAAGTCATTAATAAGGCTGCATTCTTAAGGCCCCATGCTGCCCCCAGGCCACAGGGTGGTGCCTTGGGGAAAGTGTCCAGGCCTTCAGGCCCTAAAAGGATTGGGTAGAAAGGACTTAAAGAGGTGGTTCTCAGATTCTGAGGCTTTCTGTGAGATGATTCAGTTGACCTCTGTGGGGACACTGTGACTCAGAAGAGAAGCTGACTTCAGGGGAGCTGGTGAGTCACAGAGACACGCTGCGTCCCACCAACCCCAGCCCAGCCCACCAGGCCAAGAGCAGCCTCTGGGCTCGACGCTGCTCCACACAGCCATGGTGACAGACAAGCTCTCCCTCCAAGGAGTCTGGCCCATACAAGCAACACATTCACACAGAGCTAACAATCAGGTTAGGTGGGAGTGAAACCAATCCCTGAGTTTCACGGGCACCCACAAAGAGGAGGTATTTGTACAGCCAGTGCCCAGATGCTCTCTGCTCTGGAGGCCCGTTGTAATAGCTGCATAACTTTGGCAGCAAGTTCAGTGGGGGGCTAGAATCCCTGAATCCTTTCCAAACACCATGGATGGGAACAATGAGGGGCCAGCAAGCTGAATGCCACCTATACCAGGCAGCAGGAATTGGCCTGGGAGAGAACTGCCCATGCTCTTGGGGCCCACCCACAAGAGGGGACCTACCGTTCTCCATGTGGTTCCTCTCGATGAAGTTGCGGCTCAGGTCCGCCTTGCACATCTTCTCGACATGGCGCATGCACACATTGAGCAGGTCATCCTTGCAGTTGCCGAGAGACTGTGCCAGGCCCTCCCCCTCCAGCAGGACATGGTAGGTGGGCAGAGGTGGGGGGAGCGAGTAATTGCTCATCAATGCACCAAACTCCTACCAAGAAAGGAAAGAAGCCGTGAACTGCCTGGGTCTTTATGAGCCATGGGGAGCCTTCTCTACAAGGCGCTCTCACAGCCCGGCTGGAACACTTGGCGCTGGGAGCCAGAGGAGCTGGGTTCTAGATCCAGCTCTGCTGTTCACCACTTTCTCTCCCTGGACATTAGTTTCTTCTGTAAAATGAAAAGTTTCAATTAAAATCCATTGGGCGCTAACATCCCCGATGGCACCAGCATTCAAGTATGGAACTCCATGGTCCCCACCTCTAAACTGGGTGCATCCTGTCTACCTCATAGGGGCTTATGAGAGGGATGCAGGCTGCACGGACTCTGGCAGTGAAAGCGCTAAAGATATGCAAGGTTTCTCTGCAGAGTTCCAGCTGGTTGCAGTGGCGTTTCCCCCTCCCACGATGCTCTCAGTTCTGCCTCCACACCTTCGTGCTTTGCACTTTCTTTCCCCCCTCTCCAGACAATGCCTTCTCCTCCCCAAATCCTAACTGGCCTTCCAGACCCAGTTCAAACTCCGCAAAGCTGTCTTAGATTATTCCAGGCTGCTTGACCTTCTCTGAGCTTCCACAGGCACTTATCTCCACAGCCATATGCTTTATCATTTAATTACACACTTTTCTACATTGTTTTCTAATTGTACATGCCTTATCTTCCCAGCTGGATTGCAGCTGCTTGAAGGCAAAAAGCATGTCTTACGCTTCTCTATTCACCACAGCACCTAATAGCATATGGGACACGCGGTAGTACCCAAACTCTAGCAGACAGAAGGGTGGATAGATGACTAGACAAACAGACTAGATCAAGCAAAACAAATATGCAGCACTCAAATGCCACTCTCCCTATACTCAAAGCAGGCATCACTAATCAATCCCAGAATGCTTTCCTGCTGAGCCTAGAGCGCTGCTACTACATATCAGTTGAAGTTGGTACAAGATGATGGTCACGTGCCGTCTTGAGAGTAAGTAGGAAAATGGATAGGATGGAAAAATTAAATGGACAGATGGAATGAGCTTGATGGATGGATGGATAGTGGATGGATGAATGAAGGGATGGATGGATGATGGGTGAGAGTCTGGGGAAGGAATAGAATGTGATGAGAGACTGAGGGACTGAATGGCGAGGGGAGTCTCTTGTTACCTGCAGAAACAGCACCGAGTCACTGATGCTGTGCAGCTGCTCCCGGGTCTGCTTGTCTTCATGCAGTACCTTGGCCCTCTCGTCTAGAGCATCTACGATCACCTTCACTTGGTCCACAGCATCCTGCTCCCGCTGCTCCAGCGCAGCCCTCACTTCCTCCTTTTGCTTCTCCAGGTCCCGCACCAGGTCCCGGAAGTTCTGCTCCAGGATGGCCTTCTCATTGGTGGTGAAGCTCTGAGCCCAGAGTCAGGGGAGGGAGGCAGGAGGGTTTCAGTAAGGAAAAGAACCTCCCTAGTGGGGTGCATCTTTAGGTCCCCAACACAGGATCAGGGCCTTCCCATCACCCCACCCTTGGCAAGCCTGTCTGGACAAGAATCTCATTCAAAGGCATCACTGAGGGATGCCACCTACTGAGAGAAATGGCCAGGATTTTTTACAGCCCACCCTTCCTTATCCACCTGTGGCCCTTTGCCCTTGGTGGGTTGATACAAGCCATCATTCCACCCTTTAGTGACTCCCCGTTGGCCCAGAAGTTCTCCCATGAGTTAGAGTGTGCTCACCGAATCCCCAACCAGAACAAAACACCATTCAGAAAGTGAATTGGCTGGCCATTTAATCCACCAGGGTCAAGAATCAATGATTTCAGATTGTGACTTGCAATCACCCAAACCATGGCAGACACATATCTAGCCACTGTGGCACAAGTAAAGAGGAAACAGTATGTATTTGGTGGCTGAGTAGTCTGGTGGGCACAGCCAAAATTGGAGGATGTCAGAAGACACATTAGAGGACAGGCCTGGGGTCTTTATTTGCTGGGATGATATAAAATGAACTTTAGGTGACAGGCAAGATCTCACTTGGATGCCTGGCGCAGACTGAGAAGAGGGGTGGGTAGGAATGCCAAAGAGGGTGGGAGAAGCCAGAAGAAATAAGTGAGGGATGTCAATGTGGGCTTCAGACCTCAAGCAGAACTGAGCCCTATGCCTGCCTCCTCCCAGGCAGAGCAGGTGGGGTGAGGGGGCAGCAAGGTGAGCCTGGGTCTGCTCACCTTGATGCGGTCCTTCTCCTTCTGCCACTTCTCAGCTTCATCCTCAATCTCAATGATCTTGAGCTGCAGCTGCTCCTTTTGCAGTGACAGCTCCGTCTGCAGGGAAAAGGCCAGGGTTGAAGAAGTCAGGGGGAGGAGGTGGAAGAGACCAGAGCACCAGGGAGTGGGTCTAGCCAGGGAGCAAACTCTCGGGCAGGACTCATCCCTCATGCATCCAGTCCTTCACTCAGCGGGATCTTGGATGTGCCAGGCACCGTGCCAGGCACCAAGAATACAGCAGTGAGTCAAGCACCATCTTGCTGTATTCTCAGACAGGACTCATCCCTCATGCATCCAGTCCTTCACTCAGCGGGATCTTGGATGTGCCAGGCACCATGCCAGGCACCAAGAATACAGCAGTGAGTCAAACACCATCTTGCTGTATTCTCAGGCTGCTAGGGCTGGACATTCTAGCCATGTCTTTATAAGGGCTAAACCTCTGCCTGGTTCCTCCACCCAACATGAGCAGGAGGGAAGCTCATTTATGGGGTTCTTGCTCTTTTCAATGGGCCTGGGGCCATTGGAGAGAGAGAGGGAGGGGACCCAGCCCAGCTCAGCCCAGCCCTGCCCAACCCAGGGAGTGTCTCGTGTCAGTAAAAGTGTGCAGTGTTTCTATGGCATGACGTGGGGCCTCTGCTGCAAGCAGGAGCCGGGCTTGCCGTCGGCGTAGACTCCGTCTGGGCAGGCAGAGCTATAAACCTGTTTATGGGAAAGTGAACACAGTCTGCAGTTTTGGCAAGACAGGGACTTTTACCCAAGGTCTCTGGGGAAGGAGAAGGCTAAAAAGAGTGAGGCTGTGAAGAGTGGATGAGAGAACAGAAGGAGAGGGTCTAGGGACCACTGCTCAGGGGAGGACACAGACTGCTGGGTTCTGGGGTGGCTTGGAAAGAAGCTCTATGAGGGTGCACTGGGACATTGGCTCTCATATCCATACCATCTGGGGAAATGCCCTTCTCTGAAAAGCATCCACCACAGTGACAAAAGGGAAGGCATGAAGCAAAGACCAATCCCATTCGCCAAGCCAAGAGGCACCTCCCTTGTTCTGCGGGGCTCTCCTCTAGGGCTCTCAAAGCCCTTTCCAGCTTGGAAGGTAGATGGGTGATCTCCACCAAAGAAGCAGGATGACCAAGACCTCCAAGAAGGCCTTGGCTTGCTCAAGACTCCTCACTACCACTGGGCTCCTTGAGGGATCCACAAACATAGTCAGGTGAGGAAGCCACAAGGAATGTGAGCTCCACCAGCAAAGAGTCGTGAGAAGTGGGCAAGAATCTTTACTGCATGGCACACCTCCTGAGCACCCCACCAGGCCAAATGGGTGCCAGTGGGGTACCTGCTGAAGACCCCCAGGAAAGTGGGTCCAATGTAGATGTAGCTTCCCTGGCTTTTTTGGCAAAGGTCCCCAGAAGTGGGGAAGACATGAGGCAGGAGCTGCAGAGCTCCCCCAATAGACAGACAGCCCCTGATTTCATGGCCAGCCCCTTTCCCCCTCCACACTCCTGTGCTCTCCAGGCAATAAGCCCCTAAGTTCCTCTCAGTAAGCATCTGCCCCACCAGCAATGGGCTGGAAGTCCCATAGCATGGAAAATGCTGTCACCAACAATGAACATGTGCTGCTAAGAGGAGAGGAACACAAGGAGATGCGGATGGGGATTTGGCCTGGTCTCTGGAAGAAGGCTGAGGAGCAGCAGCAGTCAGTAGACACGCGGGGAGAAGGTTGAGAGCAAAGAGAGAAAGACCCCACTGCAGGCAGTGGAAATGCAACCCTCATGCTGTTTGAGGATGCAGAGCCTAAGAGTCCAGAAAATAGAGGTTGGCTGGGCCTGGCAGGTGAATCTGAGCCATGAGGAGGAAACAGAGAGGGTGGACAACAGGTCTGTCCCAGGCAATGTTCCCACCGCTGGAGAACTCCTGAGCAAGGCCTGAGGTCAAGGGGAGGCCTCCCACCTATTGCAGCTGAGGCTTCCTAACCCCACTCAAGGGTGGAGGAATTGGCACTTAGGATCCCCCTCCCCCCCAACTCATCTCTTCCAGAACAAGGTCTGCTGGAAAGGAAAGCAGAGAACAAAGTACATTTCCTCCTACCCGGCCCAACCCTGGTAAAAATCCTATCGCAGATGGGGGAAAGGCAGTCCATCCATGAAATGAGCAATGGGGGTCCAGGAGGGAGCTCACCCAGAGCACAGGAAAGAGAAACTGACCGTCTGAGTCTGTTTACTACCACCTACAGGCTGGTGGCCTTTCCAAGTTGCTTAGTTTCTCTGTGCCTCAGTGGCTCCATCTGTTCCATAGAGGTAGTAAGAGGACCCGTCTCCCAGGATGGTTGTGGGGTGGACTGGGATCAGGGAATACAGCTCCCTGAAAGTACCTGGCACAGAGTAAGCACTGACTGAACAATGTCCACATCATCACTGTTGCAAGGACACCTTCCACAGACCAGGCGCCTTGCTGCGTGCTTTCACTCACACTGCCTCGGCATGGCAGGCAGGTCAGCCAGGCACAGGTGAGCGAGGGGAGAGGACAGGTGTAGTCAGGTGAGGTGCTGGTGGTGTTCAGTGGTGAGCCTGGTATGTGTCATTGGCTTGGGGTCCAGGTGCAGTGTGTATGCTGTCCAGATACAGAGTGAAGACTGAGGCGTGCATGACAGGCCAGGGAAATCAAGACATGAAGTTGAAGATGCAAAACAGAGGCTTAGCTCATGAGTAACTGGAGAAGGTAGATACTGGGGGAAACAGCATAAAGGGATGGGGATAGGCTGAGCTCCTGCAAGTGGAAGAAGGTTTGACCAGACAAAGTGAAGGCCACAGAGTCGAGTGCGTGGAGTGAGTAGCAGCACACAGGGGAGACCTGTTGGGAGCTGTATGGTTGGGGTAGGTGTGGAAATGTTTCTTCAGGTGAGCATGGATTTGCTGGCCAAGATGGAGGAAGGAGGTAAGAGCAGAGGGGATGGAGAAGCCAGTGAGGCTTAGAACAGTGAAGCGTCCAGGCAGAGGGCAAAGAGAAGCCAGCCCCCGGGGGTGCATCCTGTGTGAGAGGGCAGTGGGCTGGCCAAGGGCGGGGTGGCCGAGTTGTGGAGAGGAGAGCGAGAGGCACAGGCCAGAGACCCGGGAGGGAGGAGGAAGGTGGGGCAGGGGAGTGCAGGGCAGAAGTGGAGACGAGCTGTCTGCAGCAGGGGGCGGAACAATCGGTGAGATGGAAAAGAGCCTGGCCCTCCTATTTCTTTGGGGCACTAGGGAAGTCAGACGCAGGCTGGGAGTGGGCCTCGCTCCCACAGCACTTGCAAGACACAGGGAGCTATTGGAAGGGACCTCAGACTGGGGACTCTTGATGCTAGAATGCTCCTTTCTCATCTCTGGGATGAATCCCACCCTGTCAGGGGAAGAAGGTTTTGGGGTGAAACCTCTAGGGATGCACCTAGCATTTGTTTAGATCTTGGCAATTTTTCTTGTACACAAAATGCTATAACATGGAAGGGGGCCAAAGATGTTGGGTTCTCCTGCAACACTAGAAGGAAGAAAAATAACTTTAATTAACTGAGCATCTACCATGTGCCAGAAATTTTCTCCTTTAATCTGCGAAAGTCCTCTGTGGAGGTAAGTGGCCTTATCCCCACTGTCCAGAAGCAGAAACCAAGGCCTAGAGAGATTACATAGCTAGCCTGTGTTCTCATGGTTAGAAAGTGGTAAGGACAAGATGCAACAGGACTCAGATCCCATTATGTGGCCTGAAGAGGTGCCTGTAGAGGTGGTGGTTCTGGGCTATCCTTTGTATCTTCCAGGACATCGTCCTTCCCCTTCACTCCTGCTAACCTGAAGCCACCCAGGCTCCCCCCGCCTTGCAGGTGGTGCAATCTGGCATTCTACCTCTTTCCTGCTGCCCCCCCTTTTCCTCTTCATCCCTGCTGAGGCCCCAGCTTTCTCTCTCCCTCTCTCCCTCCTCCCTTGGAATGTGGTTGAAGCCCCTGATGTCTGAAGGGGCCCTGGCTCCCCGCAGCCCCACCCTGCCCACGCCTGCCTCCTGACTTCCTCCTACTCCTGGCTTCATTCCTTCCATCCTGCCCAGGCCTGTCCCTAAACACTTCCTTTGTTCCCTTCTCCCGCACTCGCCCGGTTGCCTCTCATCCTCTGATGCCTGGAATGAGCCCTGCGTGGGCCACCCAGCCTTGAAATCCTTCCGGCCTTGGGTGAGCAGAGCTTTCCCTGAGAATGGAGAGTGGCACAGCAACTGGTCGTGCCTCAGCCTGGACGGGGCCTTCAGATGCAGATGCACCAAGCACTCACCTGGACAGGTGTACCTGCACTGCCTGCAGGGAAGGGGAGATCTCCTATGGTCTTTCCCTGGCCTAAATTAACCACTGGGCCGTCGGCTGTGACATTTGCCAAATGAGCCAGTTAATTGCCAAATTTGTACTCTCAGACAAATGGTAATTATCTGGATAAGAATCTGAAATGCTGGATAGATTTCCCCACTTCCACCCAGATGTCAGACAGCGCGGCATCATTAGCCTCCTTGGCTGGGGTTTACGGTTCTTTCCACTTCCTCACAGCCTCTGGCCAGGGCAGGGAGGGCTGGGCAAGGAGGGCATCGCCCTGGCATCTCCAGACCAGGGTGGGCCCTTGCGGAAGTCCCCTCATCTCCCCAGGCCTTGGTTTCCTCATGGTGAAATTGGACTAGGTTTCTGACACCCCACCTTGCTACACATTAGAATTCCTGAGGGAGACTTTTAAAAATACAAACCCTAGGCCCCAACCCCCAAATCAGATTCCCAGGGTAAGGCATGGGAATCTGTGTTTTAACCATTTACCAGGCAATTCTGGTCTGACGACCATGGATTGGGAGCCTGGACTTGGTGATCCCAAGGAGACCCTTCCAACCCTATGGGGACAAAAAGTTTCAAATGGTGGAGAGGATCCCAGCTCTGCCACTTGTGAGTGCTATAACCTATGTAAGACTGCTGGCATTTTTGAGCCTGTTATAAAATGGGTGCAGTAACCCTCACCCACAGGACTGCTGTCAGCAGCAACCATGCAAATCCCGAACCCAGAAGCTGGCTCCATAGAGACTGGGCTGTCTTTCTGCCTGTGGCCCACCTTCCCCGTTTCCTCTCTCTAAACCTCTTTTATTTTGCTGTTTCCCTCTCGGCACCTGCAGAGGTCATCCCACCTCCTTTCTCATCCACCCGGTACCAGAGCAGATGTTCTCCCCGAGATCTCCAGGGAGAGTGGCCCCAGGCCCCTCCAATTCCTCCTCCTGAATCCCAGTCACTGCTGTCTGCCCAGACCAGGGCAGCTCAGAAACTCAAGGTCCAGCAGCTGCCCATGCCTAGCAGCCTGGTGGCTCGGCCTTCATGGAAGAATTGGGCAACAAGGTGAGAAACAAAGCCCCGGGACACGGTGAGAGAAACGCACTAAGCTGAGTGACGGAGTGGAGAGAGTGGACCAGGCGCTGGGCCCCTTTGGAGCGATGCTTGTGGCTGTGTGTCCTCTACACATGCATCATCATGCTGTCACCCCAGAGCCCAGGCCAGGCCCACGACAGGGTAGGGCCGCCCAGAGCAGGCAGCCATCCACCCGGCAGGGGTCCTAACACCCTGGCCTGTGGTAGCAGGAGGAACTTGGGACAGACAGAAGGAGGGGCCATGAGATCCAGAAAAGGATGGATATGTTCATTTTAACCTCATGCACCTAACCTAGCCTGGGAAGTGTCCAGAGGTGGAGGGATGGACAGGAGGACATCTATGGGACCCCTTGTGATATTTGGGGTAGCACTGAAAACATTCTAACCTAGAATTCATCAGAGGAAGACACTCTCATGTTGCCACCAAGTGACCTTTTCTAACATGAACTCTGCTCTGAGTCTGTAGGTAGAGCTGAGGCCCAGGAGATGAGCAGCCACTGCCATGGGTGTCATCTACAGCCTCGCGAACTGACCCAGACAGGTCTGAGGTTACCTCACTCGGGCCTTCACCAACAGGCCTGCAGAACAGGTTTTGCACAGGCCTCTTGCAAAAACCTGAGTGGGCTGATGTTTGGGTCTGCAGGAGATGCCTCCAAAGGAGGCCAGGACTGGCACGCTTGTTCACCTTGGGCCTACCTCCCACTAACCCTGCTCTGTGCCAATGTCCCCTACGTCTGACATTCCACCAGAGCCAGGCCTAGACTGCTCTGTTTTGTCTCAGTCTCCTGGATGCTTGGCCTCACTCCTCCCTGCCTATCTCTATGCCACAGACACACACGCATGTGCACAGACACACACGCACGCATGCAGACTGCCCCAAGCTCCCACCATTGAAGTCACTCCAGTGGACCAGGCATTTTCTCCTAAATCACACATGTTGAATGTTATCTTCTCGGCGCCCTTTCCCAGAGGTACTCTCAAACATTGGAAGAGGACTTAGGGGGCTTCTTCCTCAAAGCAGTCTCTTGGAAAGGTCCCCTCCTTTCCCTAGGCCTGTGTTCCCATCTGCAAGGTGAAGGAGAAGACTGATGAGCTGCTACCACTCCATCAGGCCTGGAATTGGGTCCCCTGCAGTGGGATGTTCACTTACAGCTGCTTCTGTGTGACTGAGAGGGTGCCGCTCACTCTCCTTTGTGCATCTGAGCTCTGACTCCTGACCTATATCGTTAGCCCTCAAGGGCAAGGACCCGGTCTGTGAGTCCTACCATGGCCCTGAACATGAACTTGGAGTTCCAGGTGCCTTCAGACAGGGCTGCCAAGACCCTCCTGCCTGCCAGAGTCGTCTCTTCCAGGCACACTCAGGCTTTTCTTTAAGACACTCTTGCTTCACATGAAATTTGGGGCCAAACCCTGCATAGAAAACAGATCAATAAGGCTGTGCTTTGCTTGCAGTAGAGGTGGGAACCTGGAGGCCTGCCTCTGGGCACCTCCTTGTCCCCCTCCTCGCCCTGAGGCCTCGAAGACATTGCCAACAACTCTAGGGCTCTGTGGGTCATATGAAAACCAACAATCCAACCCAGACCCTAGGTTTCACATATAGGGAAATGGAGAGTGAAGAATGGGAGGGACTTATCCAGTCTTATAGCTAGTTAGAGGCTAAAGCCAGCACTGGAGCTCATCACATCTACAACCCAGTCTGAGGCTCTGCAATGTCACGGTTGCTGTGGATGAAGGTGATTGCCTCTTGTTCTGCTAACTTCCCAAGTAAGCTCCCTGAGAATGGGCTCCATGCCCCTGCCCCATCTCCATCTCCCAGTATGAAGCTTGAAGTCAGGCTGGAGTCAGAGGATAGGGGACCATCTTCCTGGGCCAAATGAGGCTTCTGGAAAGGATCTTTGAGTCTCTTCCCATCTCTAACTTCCTTCCTGCCCAGGGGTGCATGGAGAGAGTAATCAACAAGCTCTGGGTCAGGAAGGCTGGGCAAGGAGGGGTCCCGTGCTGGCCCATTCCGAGTCCCCTGCACTGGCCACCGGGAAGGTTTGCCCCAGGAAGGTTGCCCACAGCAGGGAGCTATGTTGCTTCGGGGGGTGGGGTGGGAGTGGGGGCATGGAGTGGAGGCAGGAGGGTGGGAGGGTTGCGAGGGGAGGGCCCAGCATCCGTGGGTCAAAGGCCAGCAGCCACAGCTGGGCCCTTAGCCCAGAATACCTGCCCCAGGTGTGCCACATCCACAGGCCTCCACTTGGCCCTGCTCCTCTCCATAGAAGTACAGGTATAATCACATACATGGAACTCAAGCAAACGCACTTATGTATCACAGATACAAATATATGCAAACATCCACAAACACACATGCATACAAAACACTCACACATATATATGTACACCTTATCAGCAAGCAAACTCCAAGCCTCACCAATAGTGTCCACCTACAGGCATAGGCATGTCCACATGCAACCACACACACAAAACAGGCCCGGCTGGACGGATAAAGGAGGCTGTGGGGGAAGTCAGCAGACTGGCTGGGGAATCAGGACAAGCAGCCACTGTATCACAAATGCAAACTGTGATCACACATGCATACAAAACACTCACACATATATATGTACACCTTATCAGCAAGCAAACTCCAACCCTCACCAATAGTGTCCACCTACAGGCATAGGCATGTCCACATGCAACCACACACACAAAACAGGCCTGGCTGGACGGATAAAGGAGGCTGTGGGGGAAGTCAGCAGACTGGCTGGGGAATTAGGACAAGCAGCCACTGTATCACAAATGCAAACTGTGATGCCAGCAAAAAGGACATTTCAGTGACCCCCAAAATTCCCTCTTTCTAGTGTCTTCCTTCACCCACAACCCATTCCCCAGGGGCTAGTCCTACTCAGGTGGAAAGAATTCTCTCTCCCTTAAGACAAAAACAACAAAAAGAAGAGACACCCAAGCCAGGCACAGAGCTCAGGAGTGAGTTCTGTGCCATTAGGTCTTTTTCTCTGACCTGACTTGAATTTATCCTATGAGCTTGGTCAAGCCCCCAATCTTTTCTGAGCCTCTGTTTTCTCATCTAGGAGATGCCCCTGTGTTCTGAGACCTTAGGGGGTTGGGAGTTCTGGGAAAATATAAGGAAAATGTCAGGGCCCCTCGGATGTTCGGAGTCTTGCCCAGCATCTGAGGTGGGCACGGGTGTGCGCACGGTGCTCCTTGTTATTGTCTAATGTGATTGCCGATGCGTGAAGCTTCTAGAAGACGCTCTGGGAAGCCATATTAAGTCGACTTCTCCTAGCTCTGAATAAAGCCTATTATTTCTTCACCCGCGGCTCCCAGGACCTCTTCTTATTACCCAGCTCGCAGACCTGTGTGTGGAGGGTTTGTGACCCAGTCTGGACAAGGGGCTCCAGGGTCTCTGAGCCCCACCCCTAGCTCTACAGGGAGCCACCTGTGATCCCAAGACTGAGGGTGCATAGGGAAAAGAAATGTTTTCTAAGAGAGCCAAGGACAGCAGAAATTTAAGCCCCGAACACCAGGAAGCCCCAGTGGAGAAGATCAAGGTCAGAGGGGCCCAGCAAGTCACCTCCTTCTCGGCCTTGGCCTCTTCCACCGTCACGGTGCTGTGGTTCTTGTGCTCCTGGAACATGCAGAGGTAGCAGATGCAGGTCTGGTCGGTCTGGCAGAAGAGCTCCATGGTCTTGCCGTGCAGGGGGCACTTGCGGGCCTCGAAGTCCCGGATGGGCTCGAGCAGCTGGTGGTCGCGGAAGGCGGCGCCCTCCAGGTGGGGCTTGAGGTGCAGCTCGCAGAAGGAGGCCTGGCACACCAGGCAGGACTTGACGGCCTTCTGCTTGTTGCCGATGCAGGAGTCGCACAGCACCTCCTCGGAGCCCGGCCTGGGCCGCAGGAGGAGGCCCGAGTCGGCCCGGGGGTAGCTGTTCCTGCGCACCTCGCCGGGCTCCGCCACGGGGGCCGGGGGCTTCCGCGGCTCCGAGAAGAGGGACTTGCGCAGCTCGCCCTTGTCAGCGAAGGCGACGGGCAGCTTCTTGGCGGCCCCCAGCTGGAGCCCCGCGTACGGTGACCTCTTGCCGTCCGCAGAGTCCATGCTGAAGTAGTTGGAGCTCTTGTCATCCGCAGACTCCACGAACTGGATGATGGGCCGCCGCCACTCGTTGCCCGAGAACAGGGCGCTCTTCCCTTCCCCTGGCTTCAGGCCGCTGCCCAGGCTCCTGCCCTCGGCCACCTCGCCGCCGTGCCCGTTGGTGGCCTTGGCCTCCTTGCCGTCGGCCTTGGTGCCGTTCTCCAGGCTGCCGTTGGGGCCCGTCGGGCTACGGGCGTCCCTGGCTTCTGGGCTCGACCCGTTGCTCCTGGAGGCATCTGCAGCTTCCATCCCGGTCCCTTGGCTGGTCTGGTTCAGGCTCGCTGGAGCTGCAGGCTGTGTGACCTTTCCTGAGGGCGTCTCAGCAGGGAGTGGGACAGGCAGCCACAGGGCCCAGAGACACACCTGTGCAGAGGAGGAGGAGAGACAGCAGCAGCAGGCACAAGCCTGACACAACGGGCCCGGGGAGAAGCAGGCGGCTCCCACAGCCAGCAGAGCGGCTAATTATACAGAAGGCCACGCCCTGCACATTCATACCTAACCTGATTTTTAAAAGAAAGAAGTGGGTTTTTTTTCTCCCCCAGTTTATTTTCCACAGCTCAGCAACCTGTTGGGCTTCCTCCATCTGACACGCTTGCTTCTCCCCCGAGGAGGTGGAAGCCCCCGTCCCCGCAGTGGGCAGGCTCTGCAGAGCCCAGTGGACCCTGGGGCAGAAGGTGAGGTGTCCACAGAGGCCCGAGGGACAGAGGGCTATTAACTGGGTCACACAAGCCAAATAGTCTTGTCATTTGTAGGCCTGGATTTCAGAGGAGAGATTCTCCACCCTGGGACAGTGGAGTTGCTTCTTCCTTTAAGGGGAATGGTGGGTTCAGTTTGATTTTGATTTTAGGACTTGGAGTGACACAGATACTGATTATTGAACCCTACTTGCCAACTTCTAGCACTGTCCTAGGTACTTTACACATACAAGGTCATTGAAGCCTCACTACAACCTGTTCAGTTATCCCTTTTTAGTAGATGTGAAACTGAAGCTCTAAGAAAATAATTCTCTGTCCCAAGTCAATTGACAGAGCTGGGATTTTGAACCCAAGGTCTTTGAGATTCCACAGTCCCTTCTTCAGCTAGAGTGTCATGGAGCCACCCAAATACCTCACTGGAAGATGGGCTCTGAAAGTCTTTTCTATCCCAGGGGCCCTCACAATATGCATATAGACCTTGGGTTGTTTCTATCAGTGCAGGCCACAACCTGCTTGGATCCACATGACAGAGAAACAGCAATGAGGGGAATCCAAGCAATGCCAGGCCAGGTGGTTGGGTCCTCAGGGCCGGCCAAACACTTGACTCTCACCTGTCTCTTCAGTAGCTTTGCTGTGTGGCTCGGAAAAAAATCTATCCACCCTCACTGGGTTAGGCCACAGGTCGTACCCTCCGAAAAGAGGCCGGTGGAATGTGGGACTCAGATAATGTCATCAGTGAGCTGTTCAGGTGTGACCATCATATAAGTGCAGACCCCAGGAAGAAAAGTGAGAAAAACAACCCCAGCTCCTTCCTTTCCCTGACTTCCTGCCCCTGACACTGCTGAAGACCCTCAGCTCCTGTAGGACATGCCACCCCATCATCTCCGGGCTATGACCCACTGGCTGCAGTCTTTGGGAGCCAGCACCCCACCACGACAATGAGTAAAGGGCTGTGCCTCTCCCAGGTGGGGCTGGATGGGGCACAGCAGACAGTAGGTGTGGCTGGTGTGGCAGGTTCTGGACTGTGTGGTGGGGAGTGGGTTTCCCTCCCTCTCCTCGAATCGAGGTCAGGCTCTGGGAGCCCCCGCCCCTTTGGCTCACCAAGCTGAACAGCTAATCCTCTGCAATAACAGCCCTTGGGAACAAGGGCAGAGACAAGCTTGGCTCACAAAGCAGCCCGGTTTTAAGAGGAGGCGTGATGTTGGGGGTGGGGAGTGCTGGCTTCAGGATGGGGATTCCCCTCCCACCTGAGTTCCTGTCCTTGGACCCCACAGGAGCCCCCTCTTGTTTGAACTTTCTGGTGAGTTGGCTAAGAGCTCATGGGGCCTTCTGCGGTGGGGAACCCCTTCTCAAAAAGCCAAACCCGGGCCGGCCCGGTGGCGCACTGGATAGTGCGCCACTTGGGAAGCGCGGCGGCGCTCCCGCCCGAGGGTTCGGATCCCACATACAGACCGGTTCCTGCTCACTGGCTGAGCGGGGCGCGGGAGCGGCGCCGAGGGTTGCGATCCTGTTGCCGGACATGGAAAAAAAAAAAAAAAAAAAGCCAAACCCAATTTCACTGGGCTCTTGTTTGAGGCCTGGGGGGGGGGGGGGGGGGGCCGGGGGTTGGGGTCCTGTTGCCGGACAAGGAAAAAAAAAAAAAAAAAAAGCCAAACCCAATTTCACTGGGCTCTTGTTTGAGGCCTGGGGGGGGGGGGGGGGGGGCCGGGGGTTGGGGTCCTGTTGCCGGACAAGGAAAAAAAAAAAAAAAAAAAAAAAAAAAAAAGCCAAACCCAATTTCACTGGGCTCTTGTTTGAGGCCTGGAGGGAGAGGGAGAGAGAGAAGTACTGTCTTGGTCTGCTGGATGGAGACATGCCCCTTCCTCTTCCCCTGATAGGGTCTCCCTGTGCTGATGGCAAGAAGGAGCAGAAGAGGAAGGCCACAGGGTTCTGCATACAGATCCAACATCACTGCTGGCTGAGCCTCATGCTGCACAGGGCGGTCTCTGCTAGTCCTTAGAGTCCACGCACATATCTTCCAGAAATCTGGGGGAGGACTCTGAACTTTAGGAATAGACTGATGCAGAGTAGATGCTCAGAAAATATTTGTGGGTGGGTGATGGACAGATGGATGGATGCATGAATGGAAGAAATAGAAGCTAGATGAGTGTAAATGGTAAAATGGATGACTGGATGGATGAGTTGTGTAGATAATGGATAAGTGGGTGGAGGGATGGATGGGTGGATGGACAAATCGATGGATAGATAAGCAGATAGTTGGAGAATTGGTTTAAAAAATTGAAAAAGGAAGGAAGAGAGGGGAGGGAGGAAAAAAATAGGTGGAAAAAGAGAGGGAAGAGGAAGGAAGGAAGAAGGCAGGTAGATAGTAGGTGGGTGAGTGGGCGAATTGCAACGGTACGATAATAAAACTTTAGCAACTGGCTTTTCCAGGTTAAAAAAATTTACTGCTTTTTAGTGTTTGCCAATCACTCCCACCCTGGCCCATCTCAAGCTACCAATGTGATGTGTGCTGGGAAGAGATGCACACAGCCGGTGCTCCTGAGCCAGTGGGAGCCTGCTCCAGCCGTCACGGGAGCACAAGTGTGTGTTCGAGGTAGGTGAATAGACTGTGGGAGGGAGGATAGAGAGATGGATGCTGAAGATGCCACTCTCAGTTGTTCTCAGAGAGGGGAACAGGTTCAAGTGCTTCAAGGCAAATGGGAAGGAGGGGTGAATTTGTCTCTTCCAGGAGGCTTCCCCCGACCCAAGCCCACAGGGATTGCTCCCTCCTCTTGACCCCTGTAGTGGCCCTGTCTGCCCCACTCAGAAGGCATTGAGTGCAGACTGCTCAATGTGGTTAATTATTCATCCTTTCACACATATTTACTGAGTATCCTCCCATGAGCCAGGCACTAAGCAAGGGACTGATCACACAGACATGAATGAGTCCCAGATCTTGCTGCTGGGGAGCTCACAGTCTAGTGGGGACAGAGATCAGTAGGCAAATCATTTAAATTGGCATGAACAGTGACTGAGAAAAATGTGTGCAAGAGGCTTGGGCTGCCCAGAGGAGGGAGAGCCCAGGATGTGCTGAGGGAGGCCCGTTTATCCAAGCTGGCTGAGCGTGGCTGGCTTTCCACACACAGGAGTGTCCTCCCTGGCCAGATGGAGGTGGCGTTTGATTGCACTCAGCAGATATTCATTCTGTTGAATTCTCAGTGCTGGTTGACTGGTCCTTTGGTTCTCCTGGGCCGGGGTGCAGGACCCCTCCTCTCTGAGGGGCTGCTCCATCCAGATGACTGGTGGAGGGTAGTCTCCTGGGGATCCCCAGAATCTAAGGGCTAAAAAGACCTTCTTAGGGGAAGAAAACAAAGAAACAATCCTTCCAGAGGTGGCTTGCCACCCCCTACCAAACTGCCCTCCTGGAGCTGAACCAAAGAGTTGAGGATTCCCACCCCTCTAGTACTGAGGTCTGGGTTGGACCCAAGGACCGTCCAAGGGAAGGTGATTGCTCTTCACTCTGGTTCTGCCATTTGCAAAGGGCCTAAGTACACGTGACCCCATCTGCTGGGGTCCTGCCCCTCTCCAGCCCCAAATCCAGTTGCACAGGTTCCATAAGAGAGCATCTCCTGATGGCCTTCAGAGCCTGTGTATCATATGCAAACTGGCAAAAAGCCCCCAAAGGCCATCATATCCACCACCGTGGCTGAGGAAGTACCTTGAAGCAGAGGGCCCCTTTATTTTTAAAGGCCTTGGGAAGAAGGGATTCTATGAATCTCCTCGGTCACTGATCTCCCATCTTATCCTGTTCTCCCTCTGGTCTAGCTCAAAGCCTTCCTGCTGCAACACTTCTCCCAATCCCAGGTGATGGTGGAATTTGATGGGCTGCCAGCCATCACTTGTGGGATTCAGGAGGTAAGAAGAGCTGGCAGGTGTGACTTCTGGAGAAGAATCCAAATTCCACCTCTTCCCCCTTGGCTCTCTCAGACCAAGTATGCCCTGCCAGCAGCCCCTGCCAAGTCCCCTCCTCCCACACCCACCTTCCAGCCCACCCCAAACCTCCTCCCAGGCGTCTTTCATGAGGCATCTCAAAGCCGTTCTCCCCCTGGCAGCCTCCCTTGATTCAGAGGGTGGAGCTGCCTCACCCACTCACTGAGGTGGCCTGGTGACACCCCATTTCATCACCGATCATCTTCAGATGAAAGAGGAAACCCCTTAACAGGAGAAAACTCCTCCAGCTTCTTTGGAATCCCAGGGTTGATGGAATCCCAGAGTTGGGAGGGAGTGGTCAACTGGGCCATCCCTCTGCCTCTGGGCAAGACTATATCTAGAAAGTCTTTTATATATACCTTTTAAAGGACTATATATGCTTTAAAAGACTTGCAAGAAAAAAGATTTTGCAGCTTCCCTCAGCTACTCATTTCAAGCTTTAGGACTATCCACTGTAGGCAGTTCTTCTTTGAGTCTAACTTAAATACTCTAGAAATGAAAGTTTACTGTACAGTTGGAGTCGAAGAACTGAGCTTAAGGCCCCACAAAGGACAAGCTAAGAGGCATCTCTGAGGGGAGGGTTCTGGTCCAGTCTTAATGCTTACGTGGTTCTTCTGACTTCTTGGTAACTTTATCCTACTGGTGTACCTGGAGTTGTAGATATCAGTAAGAAGACTGTGGTGGTTCAAAACTTTGTAGCAAT